ACACACACACACACACACACACACACACACACACAGTACCACTCAAAAGTTTGGGATCAGCAAGACTTGCAATGTTTTTTAAAGAAGTCTCTTCTGCTCATCAAGGCTGCATTTATTTGATCAAAAATACAGAAAAAAAACAGTAATCTTGCAAAATGTTATTACAATATAAAATAATGGTTTCTATTTTAATATCCTTTAAAATACTATTTATTTCTGTGACGCAAAGCTGAATTTCCATCATCATTACTCCAGTATAAAGTGTCACATGAGCCTTCAGAAATCATTCTAATATGCTCATTTATTATTAGAATTATCAATGTTGGCAACAGTTGTGCTGCCAAATATTTTCTTTGGAAACTGCGATACTTTTCAGGATTCTTTGATGAATAAAAACTTAAAAAGAACAGCATTAATTGAAAATATAAATATTTTCTAACAATATAAATCTTTGCGATCACTTCTTAATTTAACATCCTTGCTGAATAAAAGTTTTAATTTCTTTCAAAAAAAGAAAGAATAAAAATGTACTGACCCCAAACTTTTGAACTGTAGTGTAATATATATATATATATATATATATTTTTTTTTTTTTAATGTCCCAGCACTAATCTTGACATGGGAAGGTTTTTTCTCCAAATCTATCACTATTGCTATTATTTGCTTATTAACTTATTTGCATTTACATTAATCAGCAATAAATTACTGCATTACCTACTGACACACATTTTAGAAAAGAAACAGCCACAAACTACACAGACATTTGGCTATTGTTTAACATTTGTTTTTACACATGCATGGACTAAATGACATCTGCTGACAACAAACTGCTCCAAAGCAGGAAGCGTTTACATTTAGATGAATGTTTTCCAGACAAGCGTTGTTCTCTTGGGAATAACGTGCACTGATGACTGCACAATAGCACCAGGAATGTGTGAGAATGAACGAAACCGGGTCATGCTAACTGCAGCAGATATGAACAGTAGAGCCCGACCGATATATCGTGTAGCCGATATTATCGGCCGATACGAGTCTGTCGCCGATATATCGGTATCGGCTAATATGCCGCTGATAAGAATTTATTTTTACAGAACATATAACGCAGATAAAATGCTTGAAATTATGTAATTACTTAGTTTGTCCAGCAGAGCGTGCTCCATTGTTTGCTACTGGTGACCTGGATGAAACGCTTTAAAACTTAAGTCTATGGAAAACCATTGAAACTTTGAACGGCCATATCTCTGTAAAGACGTGGCGAATCCACACCATAATTCGGGGGATGCCTTCAGCTCAAGGAACCCTCTCGAACGCGAATCGAGTGTATGTCTAAAGGCCCTCTTTCGAATGTGACCACCCCTGTGTCGATAGCCCCCAGGGTTCGGGAGTTATGGGTGGTTAAATTCACGGCCCGACGCCCCGGGGGGCTACTGACGCGCGGAGTGTGCCATTCGAGAGGGCTCCTCAAGCTGAAGGGATCCCCCGAATTTGGTGGAGATCCACCGGTGCGTTCGCAAGATAGTGACACTAGCCAACACTTTCCCTTCAGTAAGGAGGTCTCTTGTTCAGGCAGCATTCAAGCATTGGCTTATTCGACCGTAAGTGCCCTGCGAAGTGGACTTCACATGATATTCCGCCATGATTCCAGTTCCAAGGGAACGTACACGTAACATTCAAAGGGCATTAAAGTGCGCGAGACGTGAATTTATATTGCATTTATTTACAGAGGTATATTATGTCACACTTCTCTAGTAACTTTCGTCTGTGTGTGAAGACAGTAGCGCAAATTCGTGAATGAATGTTCCGAAGTGAAATAAACTTCAACGGAATAAAGTTGAATGGAATTGAATTGAAGTTGAATAACCTTCAACTTTACTGTTCAGTGCACTGATGTCAGACTCATTTTGGATAATAAAGTTTATTGTTAAATGCCCTGCCTCCATCATTACATATCTTTGTCAGGTCATTATAAGTGTTTGATCACCACATTTGAGTGATCATTGCAAAAAATGTGTTTATGTATATATATTCTGTTTATGTATATAATGTATTCTATATATAGTACCAGTCAAATGTTTGGACACATGAACGGGAAAGTGTCCAAACTTTTGACTGGTACTGTACTATAATATACACAAAGAATATCGGCCGATATATCGATATCGACCTTTTTTAATCCCTAATATCGGTTCCAAAAAAAACCCATATCGGTCGGGCTCTAATGAACAGAAATAAGGAGCGCAGGATCATGGGAGTTGAGGAGTGACAGACTCACCAAAGGTTTTCTCCAGATCCTCACATCTCCTCACTTCGTTCACAAACTTCCTCTGGAACGCGTTCACATTTGGATTCAGCTGAGATGAAGATTTCAGACAAAGACGTGTCATTTATCCTCTTTGTGACAAAGCCAATGTAAGGCAAAGGCACGTTAAAAACATGTAAACGAAGCACAGGGTTCCTACAGAACAACAATAAAAGAGAGCAGAGATTCTCTCACGTCTCTGAACTCCACGATTCCCAGCTCTCCCAGTTCACTGACACAGTTGTAGGCCGATCCCGACTGGAGGAAGAGCTGTACCAGACAGACCTCTTCACTGCGGAACAGAGAGCCCATGACCTGAAACACACACAGATCACACAATCAAACCGCATTAATGGCTTCTTCTGAGACACACTAGGATGATGCTTGTGTGAACAGACATGGCACTTCCTCTTCTGCTTTGAGTCAGTAAGCGTGTGAGCATGAGTGTGTGTTCCTCTCTGAGGGACTTGTCATGCTTCATAAAATCACCTACAGTAAAGCAGAAAATGACTGTAAAATCACAGGGTTACACGGGCAATGTCAAACTACATCAATGTTTTTAACAATCTATTTGAATTTATTTAATATATTAATAATATATTTTAAACAAAACCTATTTTGTATAATTATCATGTATATGCATATGTATTGATCCAATATAAATTCAATATATATATATATATACACACACACGTTACAAAAGAAAGCAATAAGGATTGTAAAACGATTTGACTATTACAAACCAACAAACAAATTGTTTATTAAATTACATGCTTTTGAAATTTGTTAATTTAGTTGATTTCTCTAATGCACACACAGATAATGTATAAAGTATATAATAATATACTTCCAAATTGTATCCAGAGGTTGTTCGCAATAAGAGAAAGACAGTACAAACTAAGAGGAATATATAGCCCATGTTTAAAAAATGTTTTAAATAAGGGCAAGAACTACTGGTAATATAAAAAAATAGATGTATATCTTTCAAAGGGGTAAACCTATGGAATAATTGTGATAAGGAATTAAAATTATGTAACTCACTTTGTACATTTAAGAAAATGTTTCAAAACTAGGTGATAAATAATGATATATGAATAATATATATGAATAATTTGTGTTCGTAATACTTAAACTATTGTAATAATATGTGAAATGTGTACTTTTTTAATCATGCATGTTTGTGGAAATGTCTTTTTGTTTCTCTTGTATTATCACATTTTCATTGAATTCACCGAATTCAAAAATTCTGTGAAAAAGTGACCTAAATAATTTTTTTGTTTCCAGAGGTTGTTCGCAATAAGAGAAAGACAGTACAAACTAAGAGGAATATATAGCCCATGTTTAAAAAATGTTTTAAATAAGGGCAAGAACTACTGGTAATATAAAAAAATAGATCTTTCAAAGGGGTAAACCTATGGAATAATTGTGATAAGGAATTAAAATTATGTAACTCACTTTGTACATTTAAGAAAATGTTTCAAAACTAGGTGATAAATAATTATATATGAATAATATATATGAATAATTTGTGTTCGTAATACTTTAACTATTGTAATAATATGTGAAATGTGTACTTTTGTAATCATGCATGTTTGTGGAAACGTCTTTTTGTTTCTCTTGTATTATCACATTTTCATTGAATTCACCGAATTCAAAAATTCAGTGAAAAAGCGACCTAAATAATTTTTTTGTCGAATTGAAATGGAATTGTATGGAGTTATGCTGAGCTCCTTTCAACTGAGAGACTACATGGAATATGTGACCTTATAATAATTTAATCCATGATGATGTCGCAGAAAAATGATTTAATCCATGATGATGTCCAGAAACATTGAAGTGAACTTAAAAAGGCTAAAAGGTTATTGTGAAAAAAAACTTGAAAGAAAAGGTGACCTGTTACAGTATGTGAAATATACACCATTCCTTATACATTCATGGACAATATCTTCCATCTATAACTGATGTTGACTGGAAAAAGGTGGTATTTGTGATTTCTACATTTGGGCCACACTTACTAACGCACTGTGCATATGATCAGTAGACCACGTGATCTCACTTTGATCACATGCATCCTCACAGGTTTTGACAGCTAATCACTAGCACTAACAGAAGGACACATGAGATCTAAAACAGCTCAACATCTCTGGACACTGAACCGACAGCAGCCAATCGAGCCTGAGCAAACCAAGCCCATGCTAATCGAAGGAATGAATGCTGAAACACAGGGAAACACAAATCTGGGCCACAGTTCCTCTTTCTACAGGAATCCCGCTGCATTACAGGACAAACTGTTTTAATGAGGAAGCTTGTTACAATTCCTCCGTCTATATTATATCATTTTATCGGATATACTTTTGGCTGTTTGTTCATTTGAATAATGCATGACACAAAAGTTTCATTTTGGTTTCCCTGACACTATAAAACATCACGAACAGCAGTTGGGTATCGATTAAGTGTGATTTGATGATGTTCAGATGCTGAAAGAGTCGAGACTGGCGGGGTAACGTTACAGAATACGCATCAAACAGTGTCACCAGCAGTGCACACATCAGCGGTGATCTGCAAACTTACCGGATGATACGACACCGACAGCGACGAAGATCGAGCTCAGCCTCTGGACGTGAGTGTGTCTTCTTGAAAGAATAAAGTTCTAACAGCTGCACTGAGAACCACGAGCTTCCTGTTTCTTCACACAGTCATGTGAGCAGCTCATCACGTGACTTCAGGGCCCCAGCTGTCTGTTCGTGTCACGTGACTTCAGGGCCCCCCCCAATACT